CGAAACCATAGGGGATATCTCTTATTCCACAATTCACACGGGTTCTGAACCTCGTTTGATGAAGTATAAATGAGAGTGGAGTGAAGTGTTATATATTTCGAGACACAGTACGGCGATATGCCTAGATACCAAGTATGTGCTGTTCTTGATGAGATACGTAGCCACACTCGAGCATGGGTGTGCGCGCCACAGTACGGCGATATGCCTAGATACCAAGTATGTGCTGTTCTTGATGAGACACGTAGCCACACTCGAGCATGGGTGCGCGCGCGAGTGTGTGTACGGCTATGTTATATGGAGACTCGCACAGACGTGCACATCTTATTGCACTCTCACACACAACTCAATAAAGTCGCAGGGGTTGTGAGCAGATCCTAGCTTTCAAAACTATATCGTGGGTCACATGTGGCAAGTCTTCATGAGATCCGAATTAGTGATTCGTGTATCTGTGATGTGGGTTAGCACAGTGTGAGTGGTTGTTTACTGAAGTTTTGGATCTACCAGGTGTGTTGCATGCGGTGTCTTTATGTGTCTCCTGTCATAGCGTAATTGTGCGTGGATTTCAACGATCTTATGTTAGATTTAGGATGGATGCAGAAGAATACTCAACATATGGGGCATGGTACGTTGGGAGTTCTTTTCATAGGCGGGATCAGGTATTTCCTTGAAAGAGCTGACTATATGGTGGTATGGTATCATAATACGCGAAGGTACGAGAAGGTACGCGACGATACTGTATGATTTGTTGTAGTTTGCACCTATGGGATACTTGTTGGTTGTTGCTATTCACATTGGAGTCCCGAAGTAAGCATCTTATCTGCCTATCTATTTAAATTTGAAATTGTACATTCCTCCCTCAGATCTGGAAACCATCACCCGCCCCAAACCCCAAACCTCATCTCGTCTCCAGAATTCTTCTGAGTGACTGACAGTAACCGAGAGAGGATCAAATTTGACCCAAATGTGCTTGATTTTAGCCAATTAAATCCCTACAACCCTTACTATAGGCGAGATCGGGCGTACCTCCAGCGGATCTAGAGACTATCACCAGTCCTGAACTCAAAGACTTCATATCCAAATGTCTCAATGGCAAAGACGACAGGCCGACCGCCAAGGAGTTACTCTGCCACAGTTTCTTGTTTGAGGTGTGGTTAATGAGATATGTGTATTTCGACAAACACAGACACAGAT